ATAAATAGGGTTTTCAAAGGCATTGCCTATTATCCTCACCAAATAAACTGAATCCCGCATTTGCTCGTCAAAGAGTCTTTTGACATTTTTGATGTGCATTTTCGCAAAAATAAAATAAATTCTTAAAGGCATAACATAGACCACAAGAACATAACGCATATTACCTGAATGGTGTACCAGTGCGTCACAGCATTAGCTGGAGAAAAAGCTGCAGCATTTACCATAACTAAAGGAATATGTAAATAGAATCGAATTTTTCATCTAAATAAAGCATCCTTATCAGTTGACATATAGCTAAGACTATCACTCAATGTATGAAGCTTCATGTGGCCTACTAGATGAATTGTCACTGATATGGACAAACGCAGTATGTTCTCATGTAAAAATGGACACTTGGACAGTTCAACTGCTTCCTGAAAATTTCTCAAGAAAAACAGGGTCGTGACCGCGTCTTGCCCCGCCTGACCACACCAGATAAGCACGACCGTATTGGAAGAGGCAAAATGGTGTCCTAGTAGTCGGGGTCACGACACAGTCCATCGCCGCCTGCCTCGTCCAGGAGCAATAATTTATCTATGAAAGAATTAAAATCTTTCGAAGAATTAAGAAAGATTGCCTGGTCACATAGAAACATGTTAACATGGAGATCCCCTGTGGTGTTATGCGAGATGTTACTATCTAGGGAGTTTTGACGTCAACGAAGGACAAAGTGTTTACTTAGGAAGGGCACGGAGACAGCATCGTTGTAGCTATCGAAATCAAATAAATACATTTTGCTCTCAAGTCCTTCCTCCTTGGCCCCACCGTTTGGCCGTCCTCCATTTTTGGCCAGGTTAATGGTCTAGTTAAAATTGCTGCTCTACATTCTATTTCTTTACCTAGCTATTTCCTGTTTTGAGGGCTTTCTCCCAGCAGCAATATATTATGGATTGTTCGCACTTCTAGAAGACTTCCTTAGTACAAGCAGGGTATTACCTGTTTTTCTCCATCTATGCATAAACTCCAATTTAGCAATAAGCCACGCAGTCGCTTTAAAAACCGACTTAGTATGACGTTTAAAATTTACTATAGACTACGGAATGATCTATCAACATGTAATCACCTAAGTCTCCAGCATCGTCCTACATATACTGTTTAAAATAACTAATTTAGCAGTCGTAACATTCGAAGTCTGTTGAACGGTATGTTACGTGTCCGTAACTGTTCGTCATTTTCTCGCTTTCTTGCAATTTTTCACCCCGTAAAGCAATCTTAGCGTATTTTTGAGTTATTTTTTGTCCGTTTGACATCATTTTATCCATTTCTTTTTAGCTCTTTTTGACCATTTATTTAATAAATCCTACATATGGGGCCCAGTAGCTAACCTTAATTGCGTCTAATATGAACTTAAAGTTGTACTTTTAGGTTCTCAAAAGATGCATTTCTTTATCTCTGTTCACATTTAAGGTTATTTTATGGGTTAACTAGTGATTGCGACGGTATAGTTTCCGGTATCTGACGCTTTCATGATCACCCAGATGAAATTGCACTAGCCAGTGCGTCGCAATGAGATAGCAGTTCAACTTTTATTCCAGCACATAGCTGTATATCTGGCTGTCTGACAGAGTACCCAAAACTGTATTCGACACTGTCCCATTCCAGGTATATTTGACATACGCAACCAGCTTGGAAACCCCAGGTCCTTCACGGTCTGCTCCGCTCATCAAGTCCTGTTATCATACTGCGTTCCTCCGTCGATGCTGCCTTCTATGCCCTCTGACATCGGTCACGAGCTGTGACCTCTAAGCAAATTGCGCCACCAACTAGCATTAATCTAGGGTAATGTTATTATGAACGCATCTTGGGGCAGCTTTGTTTATCTGTCGTCTTTATGGATTAGATTGGAACAGTTTATTTCAGAGCGCTCACGGCGATAGCACAATAGAAGCTGAGGTACTCTTGAAAAGAACTTGGAAGCGTCGTTTCTATAATTGTTTAACCGCATGTATCCCAAACCCGACCTGTTGTTTACAGTGTATGCGTTCTGAAAACAGTATATTATCGAATAGTTTATTCGTTCCGTTTGATATGATTGTTGTATTTCTCAAAATTTGTTTCACATTTTTATCTACCCTTTCATTCATTTACTCTGTAGTGTAAGTTACTTAATTAAAATGCATACGGCATTACTGCCTTCAACAGGTCAACAGGTGCATGATTTATACACTTGGACTGTTGGACAGATGTTGTTTAAGGTATCATGCTGGGCCAAGTTTTATGCCATTGCGCTATAAAATGCCCCCGCTTTTGTAATACTTGGTTTTTGTATTATGCAGGAAGCCATTCCTGTTGGCTGAATCAAAATACAGCCCTCAAATATTCATTGCAAGTAGAGGCAGTCGCCAGCATTGTGATACTGTCACTGAGTATATCGTTGGTTGGTTTCTTGAGTGTATGTTTGGACACTTTCACATTGTCATAAACTTCCGAATGTATAAGAAACATTATGCAAGAAAGATCGCGCCTTCAATCGTTCTCTAGTCGTACGTGCCGTCTGAAAATCAGATAACAGTTTTAACCGCCATTCTCTGATAATTGA